GAGGTCTTTTTCAAAATTAAACAATAGAAGCAGTTTACTACATAATTTTGATAAAAGTCACCCAGTATTTAATTACAATTCTTATAATAATATTATTAATGATGGTGATGATAATGATGATGATTCAACAATTTATCCGTCATTTTTAACACCAAGAAATAGCTATTCCGTTATATCATCACCAAATTTACAGAGACCTTCATATCCACATAATAACAGTAGTAATAATAAATACAGTTATCACTATCATCATCATGGAAAATTTCATTCTGAAAACAATGATGTTTCACCAACATTTAATCAATATAACGCCTTTAGTTATAATAATAATAATAATAGTTATCCGGATATTAAAAGACATGTAAATAATGACAGTAATAGCAGTAATAAACATCATAATAGTAGTAGTAGTAGTAACAATAGTATCAATACAACAAACTATTTTACAACAATTGTAGATGATAATAATGAAAGGATACAGAGTGTAAAAAATAATGATGATAATAATATAAGAGAAAATGAAAGCTTTGAAAGTTCAATTTCATCTCAAAACATTGATATTAATAATGATAATAAAATAACTTCTTCATATAGAGAAGCATCAGATTTAATAAGGAAAGAAAGTTTATCATCATCACTGAAAGATGTAGAAAAGGCTAAAGCTTCATGGTTAAAGCTTGATGATGATGATGAAAAAGATGATTATGATAAAACTTGGAATAATAATAATAAATTATTATTATCATCTAAATCTACATCATCGTTGTCTTTATCAACAAGGGATAGGAATATCAATAACAATAATAGTGATGATGATGATAACGACGATGTTAATATATCATCGAAGGTGATAATACCGTTGCCTTCAAATTCTATTGATGATGATGATGATAAGAATGAATGGTTAAAGAAAAAACCAATGTCTAATCTTAATAAAAAGCGAACAATGTCAAGAATATCATTAAGAGTCAATAATACTTGAAATATAATATTTTGTTTTATTTATAAAAATAACTTTTAATTTTTGTACATTAATAAAACTTTATTATGTAAAAATGTATTATTTATTATTCGCGTAATTAGAATTAACAAATTTTTTTATTTAATAAAATTTTATTGGTGGATATTTTTTTCTAACGCTGATTCAGTTAACCGTTTAACCGTTTTAACCGGTTAACTGATTAATACTAGTATTTAATACTAATACTAACCAATTAATTTAACCAGTTAATTTTTGTGTAAAAAATATAACATACATTAAAACAATTGAATAATTATCTATTTTTATAATCAATATGAATTTTGTCTAGATTTTTTTGATAATTATGTCAATGAAGGAAATTAAAAGTCTGGGATTACTTTGAAGAAAAAAGCAAACAATATTTATTGCAAAGTTATTATCAATCCTCGAACAGAAATTAAATGTGGTGCAAAATATGCTAATTCTGACATCAACATTAAATTATCATTTAAAAGCATTCTCATCAAATTTTAGTTAATCCTGAAGTATGTTTAGATTTACATTATTTGTTTAATAAATGTATTTATTTATCATAATTCAAATTTTTTTAGAAAATCGATTTAAAACAACCAAGATTAGCAGATGTGTTTGAAAAAACCAAAGAACATCCACAACACAAGATGAATGAATTACATCTTGTTGTGGCCGAATGGGTTGTATTAGACTCTTTACCTTTTAATATGCTACACAGGAAGGTTTTTAAAGATTTATCAAGAAAATAGATCCTAAATTTCGTGTACCAAATAATAAAACAAAAATATTATTTCAGTCAAATATCTTTCAATACCTACAATGTCTGTGCCATCTGAAAGACTTTTTAACGATGCTGGTAATCAAATAACTGCAAAAAGGACTAGATTAAGTTCTGAAATTGTTAACAAAATTTTATTTTACTTTAACTAAATATGGCAATGGTAATCTGTTCGTAACCAGTTAACCGGTTAAAATTAATGGTTAACTGGTTAAAGAATTCTTAAACGATGCCAACTTTTAATGCTGATCATTTTATCATTTTATAAATTTTTTTTATTTAATTGCCTTATATAACAGCTAATTCTCAACTTCCTAATGATAAATTAACTACTGGTAATCATTTTGTAGAATAGAAAGAAGAAAGACATTCATGTATGTTGTGCAGGTACTTATTATTGAAAACTGAGCAAAGACTTCCATTATCTAATTTTTGGTGTACATCATGTAATGAATGTTCCATTATGTTGTAATAGAAATTGCTTCAAAATTTACTATGAAAAGGAAAATATTTATTCAAATAAAGACTAAATTTAAGGATTATCTAAAATAAGAAATGTGAGATTGTGAAAGCTTGAAAATCTACTAATAAAAAAATATTCAAAATGATTTTAATTTAAACTCCTAGTTTTGAAAAATAATAATGCTGTAAGTTTTAATAAAGTCACTGTATTCTATTAATTTTTTTGTTATTAAAAAATGCAAATTATTACTATTAAAATAAAAATAAATTACGTGAATAAAATTACATAACATGAATTAAAAAAAAA